GAAGATTTGACTCCCACCATCAGGAAGATCGTGTCGGGGGCTACCACATTCCCTTTGACGGTACCCCCTTCCGACGTCCCGTTCACCCGCAATTCGCGTTTGAAGATTTGACTCCACCATCAGGAAAATCGTGTCGGGGGCTACCACATTTCCTTTGACGGTACCCCCTTCTGACGTCCCGTTCACCCGCAATTCGCGTTTGAAGATTTGACTCCACCATCAGGAAGATCGTGTCGGGGGCTACCACATTTCCTTTGACGGTACCCCCTTCCGACGTTCGGTTCACCCGCAATTCGCGTTTGAAGATTTGACTCCACCATCAGGAAGATCGTGTCGGGGGCTACCACATTTCCTTTGACGGTACCCACTTCCGACGTTCGGTTCACCCGCAATTCGCGTTTGAAGATTTGACTCCACCATCAGGAAGATCGTGTCGGGGGCTACCACATTCCCGTTGACGGTACCCCCTTCCGACGTCCCGTTCACTCGCAATTCGCGTTTGAAGATTTGACTCCACCATCAGTGAGATCGTGTCGCACCACATTCTCTTTTACGGTACCCACTTCCGACGTCCCGTTCACTCGCAATTCACTTCTATTGGCGACACGAGAAAGAGAGACAGCGATTCGAGATTCACGAAACGTTAAACCGCGTGAGATCGCAACGGAAGGTAAAAGGCGCCTGACTACTTCTCGAAGACGCGCGCGCCGCCTCGCAAAAGGTCGTTAATTTCGCCCCTATGACAAAAAAACAAAATTCCGCCACGCAGGAGTTGTGCGCGTTTACAACATCTTTCCGACGACACCAATTTCAAAAGAATCGGACCAAAACTGTAGTAGAAGATAGGAAAAAACTGAAAAACCTTCACGTTAGTATACTACGCTCGAGGATGACGCCCAGACGTCGCCAACCCCACATCATGTAGCCATGTCCCTAAGGTTGACAAATTTCACGGCCCTGTAGATACACGTACACCCGTTGCCTTTCTACAAGAGTTCTTCTACGCGCCCACATTTGCTGCCAGCCAGCCAGCCAGCCAGCCAGCCAGCCAGCCAGCCAGCCAGCCAAAGTGAGATTAAAAGCTACTTTTTACAAAAAAATTTTTTTGCAAAAATGCGCTAAAAAAACGTAGTTAGATTGATTCTGTTTGTGGCATTAAAAGCTTCACAAAAAAAGTGACACAGGGTCGCGAAACCACCAAGTCTTTATCACTAAAAACCGCTAAGATACACTGCAGTGTCAACCAAAATAGGAGAATAGGACACACAGCACACGGCAATTCAGTCACTTTGTATATTTGAAAGCGCCATCGCGCTACCACAATCTTCCGCGTATTAATTAAATCCTTTGTGTGTTCTAGAATTTTATCAAAAGTATTATTTTCAAAATATGTAGAAATTTATACTTTTGGATTAGTATTGGAACTGAACCATAGTCAATGTCACATTTAAGTTCTTCATTGAATTCAATATTTAAGTGGATAAAGTTAAGAAGGTGCTTAGAGATAACTTTGTTTCTTTATAATGCTAACGCTAGTGCAGATGCTTACCTGACTTTGTGTTGGACATGTCATAATCGAATTTAAATGGACAGTTTGCAAATTACCTATTAGATTAGATGGTCCGTATGCCCAAGCAATTTTCCAACCCTTCAGAAAAAATGTGGTATCGAAGGAACCAATTGTTATCGTCCTTTCCCACATTTCCGGAAGTGAAGCTAGAAATAAATAAATTAAACAAATATAGCAAACGAGCTCCTGGGTATGGCCATTGTTAAACAATGGTACGGCCATTGACTTTATACACTATAGACAAACGGAGAAATAGGGAAAAATGGCAGCCGCTTACTGTAGCGAATATTTGCGTTAAATAGGCAACTTATTAAACACATTGCAATGCACGTACTAATGATGACGTCGAATGGGACGACATATGAACGCATGCAAATTTATGACGTTTTATTCGTTTAATTTTTGATTCTGTACATTTTTGTTTGAACTACTCTTAATAGTATTACAAAGACCATTTACAAAATTTAAAGTTCTTAGCAACAATTTAACAGATATGGCCGATGCCACAGCGTTTTTTCCTATTTTCAAAGGATTTGTGTAAAATTAATAGTTCCTTGGCGTCATTATGGTTTGATGTGGTTTTCTGAGAAGCTGTTCACATCGTGTGCAATTAAACTTTTCGATCGCAAAGTAGATCAACTCACTCTTCCAGTAATGTACCTAGTGTTATCAACTTCAATGTCTAAGATGGAGTTTTCTAATGACGACTGAAAAAATGCAGAAGATGAACATGATGGCGATTCTGAACATTTCGTCGAAGCAAATAACACCCACTCTTTCTTGACGATAAAGTATAGGTACATACTAACTTTTTAGTTTAATTTGTTCGAACTATGCTGAATTATATCCTGTAGTGGATTTAGATGCCGAAATCCATTCTTTTAAGGTAGATATTGTGGGCAACACGATATTTTGCCTCCAGAAATTTGTGTGTTGCCAGAGACTTGTAGTATAACTTTATGACAAACTCCTTTTCGTCTACTTGATGCCATGGAGGTAATTTGCTTTATGCAAAATTTGCGTTCTTTCTAATCCGCGCTTGTCAGTGTCAATATACTTTGTTTCAAGGGTGCTGAACCTTTCGTCACACTATCTGACGTCATATAAAAATTAAGGCAGGTCGTAAATTATTGGTAGGTTTACATATTGTTACATTGACGTTTCAACTTATTTATTAAGGTGTCACTATCGTTCATTATTATCAGACCGTCCAAGTTGACAATCACTTGTAAGGCATCTGGTCCTGATAGGTTTTTTCCTGTCCCCAGGTTTTATAATGGCTAAATGGTCATGTATTTTATGTAGAGGAACTCCGTTGGTATGAATTAAACTCGAGATTAAACTTTTTCCACCGTTTGTAATCACCTCATGTAACCGATTCTTTGCACCGACAGTCGAAATGGATACTGCCAGAGCATCAGAAACTCTTTGAGATGAAGTGTATGATGGTTACAGAAAACGCATAGGAACATTTGTAACTTAAAGTTTGTTTAGGCAGTTCGTAAATTAATATTTCGTTTACCTAATGTTGATGTGAAATTAAGCATGCTACCAATGTGAAGAATACGCGTTAAGTTGCGCGAATTTTAATGACCCTTAACTAGCCATTTGCAGAAGTAGAATAGGCCATGGTTTATCGGTAAGCCTTTCGCATTTATATATCTTACAAATTTGAGATAAAGCGTAGGCATTATACCACAGGCTCATTGAAATAACAACGCATACATACAGTTTCTGTTCTTTTGCCACACACTCGAGATATTCGCATAAGGATCTTGAATATCTACTGTTCCGATTTATTAAAAAAAAAATGATCAAAGTCCTCGTGTGAGATCGAAGGGACTTCAGCGCATTTTTGTGTGGCAGATCAGTGTTTTATTAGCCAATATTGACGCCACCATCAATAAGATCTTGCCGAAAGCTACCACGTTCACTTTGTCGGTACCATTTTCTCACTTACCGTGCACTCGCAATTCGCGTTTGAAGTTTTGACTCCACCATCAGTAAAATCCTTTGGGCGTTACCATATTCCCTTTGTCGACACCCACTTCTGATCACCCGCAACAATTCGGATTTGAAGTTTCGACTCCACCATCAGTAAGATCTCGTCGGGGGTTACCACATTCCCTTTGTCGATACACAGTTCCGACGTCCCGTTCATTCGTAATTCACATTTTGGTAGATTTCGCTAAAATCCCGGCATAAAATCGTATTCAACTTTTGGGTACTTCACATAGCTCGACCTTCTATTAGTGACACGAGAAAGAGAGACCGCGATTCGCCGCTGTAAGAAACTTTTGGGCGCCCAAAGTCGACTACCCCTCGAAGCGCGCCGCGCAAAAGGTGGTTTATTTCGCCCCTAGGAAAAAAAACAAAATTCCGCCACGCAGGAGTTGCGCGTTGACAAGATCTTCCCGACGACACCAATTTGAAAACAATCGGAGAAAAACTGTAGAAGAAGATAGATAAAAACTGAAAAATCTCCAGGTTAGTATAATACGCTCGGGGATGGCGTCCAGATGTCGTCGACTCCAAATCTTGTAGCCCCATCCCTAACGTTCTTAATTACACGGCCCCGATAGTTACTTGTACACTCCTTGTCTTTTTACAAGCGTTTTTCTACGGGCGCGCATTTACTGCCATCCAGCCAGCCAGCCAGCCGACCAGCCAGCCAGCTAGCCAAAGTGAGATTAAAAGCTACTTTTTACAAAAAAAAAATTTTTGCAAAAATGCGCTAAAAACGCAATTGTGAGAGAAAACAGGTAGTGAAGATATTTATTCCTGAAAAAACTCTCAAATGTTCATATTCAAATCGTATGTACAAAAGAAAAAAACGACACTACACCACAAGTAGGTATATACAGGGTGATTCCTATAGTACCTGCCACCGTTTGGGAGCGTATAGGGGGTGCCTAGGGGAGTATTTTGATATAGGACACTTGGGGTCGGAAATCTAAAATAAGGGCGCCAGAACCAAATTTATCTTCTGGAATTTCACGCCTGTATGTAGGCAACCCAACCGACCGACGTTTCGCGCGGAGCGATGCAGAGCGAGTTAGCGCGAGGAAGCGACATGGGAGGGAAGGAGGGAAAACGACAGTCAAAAGCAATAACGTTTACAAGTGTTCAACGTGGCCACCGTTGTTCTCAATGCACTTCCTACATCTAGCCAACTATTATTATACTATTGCCATAGTGTTTATTCACTTGATACGCGTCGTTGCAGACGGGATTTCGTGGGTTTAAACAAAATTCTGATCAAGTGTCAGCCACACATCGCCGCCTGAGATCGCTCCGTGTGCACCGCCGGCCGGTTGGGTTGCCTACCTACAGGCGCGAAATTCCAGAAGGTAAATTTGGCTCTGGCACCCTTATTTTAGATTTCCGACCCCAAGTGTCCTATATCAAAATACTCCCCTACGCACCACCTACACGCTCCCAAACGGTGGCAGGTACTATAGGAATCACCCTGTATGTATAAACGGCCCAAAATAATATTCTTAAACACGCTGATTCTCTTCTGCCTCATGAATATAATCATCATAATAATCTTCGTCACTATCAAATTCGTCCAAGTTGACAATCACCGGTAAGATGTCTAATGTATCAATATGTTGTTCCCGTTCCTAGGCCTGGTTTATAATGCTTCTGTATGATCAAAATATCTTTTCCATTTTTCCGGTGTAACCTAAACAATAAAGTTATTAAGTACTATTGTTTCACAAAACAGCATATAAAGAGGTTACTTTGTGCAGTGCCTCATTCCATAAAGACAAAACGGCACTGTGTGTGACAGGCTGAATTGAACCGATCCTTGCATCGTAATGCCGTTTGCATTCTGACCATATACCATTTCGATTGGATTATACTCGCAGTGATATGGAGGAAGTCTCAAAACACGATGACCATGTTGTAATGCTAATTCGTTCAATCTGTAAAAATCAACATGGAGTGAAAAAAAACCATAACAATCAGCTTCCTATCCAAAGGTCTACCTAACTGCAACCAAACATTTAATTATCAGCGATGCCTACCTAAATAGTTTTGGTGGTATATGATTTTTCACTACTTCCCAGATCCGATCTTGCATCATTGTTGGTGCAAATGTAATGTCTTGTGATGTTAGCCACTCTATAAGTGACATTTTTGTCCAGCATTGATTTGGACTTTTTTCTACCAATCCTGAATGGTAAGAAGCGTTGTCCATAATTATAAGAGAAGGTTCATCCAAGTTCGGGATCAATTGTTGTTCAAACCACTTCTCAAAGTTAAGGCAATTCATGGAGTCATGATAGTCTCCGGACTTGCTACCAGATTTAAAAATTAGACTTGCGTTTGGTACAAATCCATCTTCTGATCCTGCATGGAGTATTATATACCGAACCCCTTCACCACTTTTTTTTCTAACTGTTTTGAGAGTACCATCTTGCCAGCTTCTTCTAAAAGACCCTTTACTGTATATCCAGGTTTCGTCTAAAACCACAGGTCGTAATGGAAAGAGTGAAGTTTCGTTGTGTTTAAAGTCTCTCAAAAATTGTAGTCTTCTTTGAGCTACATACAGCTGTTCCATTAAAAATAATCTATTAGAAACGGTGCATCTCCGCCACGTGAATTTCAGTTTCTTCAAACTGCGGGATAAAGAGGTAGCAGATATTTCTACGCCATCAAGTCGTTGAAGATTATACTGTGTAAAGAACGGAGTGTAACATTCTCACCTATAAAATCAATTCCATAAGTGTTCTCGCGAACGTCTTCATTTGAAGCAAATCTTCCCTTAGAACATAAAGAATGTTATTTACCTGTCGCATACATTGCATAAATCCGTGTCCTTATTACATGTTCATGTATTTCATGCAGCGGAGGTCCGTGAGATAAACTAATAGCCACACTTTTTTGCGATTTGTACCTAATCGTCATCTTTTTTAACACCTCTTGTACTAATTCTTTTTACAGTCCACAACGATACACCCAGGGCAGCACAAACCCTCTGTGATTAAGTAAGCATGATTATAGCAAACGCATAGGAAACACTTACATCATATACTGCGCTTACGGGTGTTAAAGTTTTGCCTGCTTCTTTTTCCCCTTGGAAGTACTGAATCAACTTCAAAATCAAACTTTGCTCACCTTCTGTGTATCGGTTCGTCATATTTACCTAATTGTAACGGTAATGACCTAAATTCATGATATGAGCGAATCGAACCTTTATGTAAAATTTTTAAAATACTTGTCTGTTAACGGCGTTGCTGCACTGTGGACTTGCCTAGGCGTTTTCAACTTTGATGATATTTACTTCACTTTTAACACAAACTACCTAATCAAAAGGCATTTAACACTGGAAATCTGTCTTTAACGAAAATCGTTTGACGGATTGATATTATTGACAGATCAATAATTGGTTTATTTGTCACGACTTACGTTAATGACGTAATTTTTTTGTCTCAATCGATTTAAATGTAATGAAGAGAGAATCACATTTATGACGTCAGGTTCAGTACCAGTGAAACAAAGTATACCTGTCACTGTCACTGTGCATGCAATTGTAGGTACAATAATTATTAATGACGTAATAACAACGAGAGTGGCGCTGCGACGATTTGGTGGCCCAGCTCCATACTAACATTTCCAGCTCCATTTGTGTTGCCATTTTTTAAGCCTACACCGTTTGTCTATAGTATATAAAGTCAATGGTATGGCTAGGCTTGACCTTGACATTACGTATTGTATGGCTAACGCTACGCTCATTTTGAATTTCGTGCAATTCGGTTCATAACTAACGGAGATGACAAAAGGGCTTTCTTTATTTTTTGGCCTACATTGCCAATTCACGAACTCCGATCTACAAATTTGACAAATCATCCACTTAAAAAATTTCATCGTAATCGGTTCATTCGTTTGAGTTATCGTGCTAACGGACGGGCAAACACCGCAAAATTATAAACTCGCTAGGAGCTCGTTAATAAACTGAACAGTGTTTCTTTCAAAATAAACCCATAAAGAGCGTTTAAAAAAGCGGCAGAGGACCTCGGTGTGACGCCACGAAGTAAATTGGATTTGACCCATTTTCAATTTGATTGTTACATGTGGCATATAGGTCAACTGGGCAAAGGTTGAACTAAATAGGTTTAAGCGTATGGCAGAGACAGAGATGCGTGACCCCAAGGGGTAATTGGATTTGACCCATTTTCAATAGGCTTATTACTTGTGACATGTAGGTTCACTGCGCAAAGTTTGAACCAAATCGGTCCAAACGTTTGACAGTTATCGTGTTCACGGACAGACGGACACCATCGACTCCCCTATAAAGCTTGCATCGCTTTACTCTGCCGCTTAATAAGCAAGTTGGCATCAACTTACGCCAAAATCGAAAGTGCTACCAAATTGAAAATATTTACATGAATTTGATATAAGCATTAACTAATAAGGGTATTAGCACAGACAACTGTTGTCTGTGGTATTAGTGAATGATATTAGCATTGTATCTAATAGATGTACAATGACATTATAGTATACAGTGCGTTTCAGATAATAGGGTCACTTCAATATCTTTTTTATTTGGAGAGATACGAACAATTTGTTAAATAACATTTTATATGTGACATTACGATATATATGCTCGGGCTCGCATATTCAAACTTCCGGTATCGCTTCCGGTTTAACCGGAAATCAATACTTTTTTTGATTTTCAAATGCAATACCTACCTATGTTTTTTTTAAGATATTTGAAATTTTCCAAATATTGAATCGTGAATTTTTCAATTTATTTGTATTTCAAGCATATGCATATTTTATGTCGTCGTACAGCATATTATTGCTCTTTTCAATATTAAAAAAAAACATAGGCATCGCATTTGAAAAACAAAAGTTGCATCGATTTCTGGTTAAACCAGAAATGTCACATATATAAAATTCTACATAACAAATTTTTCGGATCTCGCTTAATAATAGAGATATTGAAACGCAAATATTTCAAAACCTTGCGAGGTCTCTTTCGAGACGCTGATAGCCAACATTTGTCGTGGGGCGGTTTATATATCTCTTACCGATTCTAATAAAGCGTTGTGGTTGGTAAACCAAAAATTCTTCACTTTCGTCTGATACACAAACCACGTTCCACATCTTGCATAATCTTGAAATGGTTTCCAATTCCTTCAATGTATATACTTTTCCGACATGACAATTTGGACTACTAAGAATAATCAATTTCGTTTTGGAAGTAAACATCTTTTCTAATTCCAAATCTTCCAATACCCAATCGCCCGAGGAAGGTGTTGTTACATTTTCTTTCTGAACTTCATATTTTTTTATACCTACTTCTCAAATACAAAACCCACTTACCAACCGTAATGGGACAAACTTTGTTACACCCCCTGCCACTCCGACTATGTATTCGTAAAAATCAGATGATGGTTGAACGATTATTACTTCGTCGCCATTTGTGATATGACTCAATATTGTGTTTGTCATCGCACCGTAGATATCCATACAAACCAAAATATTATCGAAGGGATCGATACATCGTTTCAATAAATTGGAATAAATTTTAGCCAACACTGATACAAGCCGAGGATGTCCCTGCAATAGAATTCGTGTATGAAGGTAAAGCTTCATAAGTGGGAAGAACGAGCACCACAGTTCCAAAAATCCAAATTAGCTTATTGCTATACCTAAGGCTGCAAGGACTGCATTGTTAACATAGAATGGTTTTTATAGCAGTTCAGCAATAACAAGGCTATCCGTTACACCCTACACTCTACACTACAGTATCTAGATCTCACCACTCCCTTTGTATACTGATGTAAGGCAACGTCGCCGCTTTTCACTACTTCTTTCAGAGCTGTTACAAATTCCGGTGAATGTAGATAATCAGGGCACCCTCTCCATAAATCCACATGATGAGTGCTAATGTGAGATGGGGGACATTCCTCCCTAAAAGTAAAAAAACTACTAATAAATGAGCAGTACGGTGGAGCTCAATTGTTCTAATCGCTTACAACACATTGTACGATAAGAACATTTGGCTCGTTGTTGTTGTTAATATTGATATCTTTTGGTGTTAATAATTTAATTTATATATTTTTATTATGAATAATAAAATTGCATTACAATAGCACATAGGTACAGTCTGGAATTGAATAATTGATACTTTTAAGAGCATTGTTCTGCAGAATAGTTATGATGTACCTAGTTGCATTTGCAATCACATGGTTGAATAAACCCCTAAAGAGCATCTAAAAATGCGCCAGAGCACCTCGGTGTGACCCTAGGGGCTCATTGGATTTGACCCATTTTCAATTGACTTGTTACATGGTATGTTAACTGTGCAAAGTTTGAACCGAATAGGTTCAAGCGTTTGCCAGAGACAGAGAGGCGTGACCCTATGAGGTCATTGGATTTGTTCCATTTTCAATACGCTTATTACTTGTGGTATATTGGTCAACTGTGCAAAGTTTGAACCAAATCGGCCAAAGCGTTTGACAGATATCGTGTTCACGGACTGACAGACGGACAGATGGACACCATCGACTCACCTATAAAGCTTGCATCGCTTTGCTCTGCCGCTTACTAATGCTGTAAATATAGCTGGATATATTGCTGTGTAATCAAAACTAACGTTGTGTTTGAAATTGGGACATTTAGAATGAACTTGGGGGTTTAATCGTTAATTAAATTCATCAAAATTTTGATTTCTTTGTTTAATGGTGGGTCTGGCTACTTTTTAACAAAAAACAATTTCCCAATACGAGCGTGCAGTCAAGGTTATATTTGTTTATTTTTTGTTTCATGAATCATGATAACGCTTTTCTGGAAATTCTTAAGTTAAAAAAATTGATATCAATTTGCTTGTAAGCTTAATGTGACAGTTCGAGTTGTTTTCCTTTTAATTGTGAAAGATAATAGTAGATTATATCACGAGTCAATAATGATAGCTATTATTCTCGAGGAATATTTACGAACTGAGCCGCGAGGGAGTAAAATTCCGAGAGTATAATAGCCATTATTGTGAGTAATATACTGTACTTTATCTACGACAATTCAACTCATGTATAAAAAATCGCATAAACCGCAGTGCAATTGTCACTTTGACAGCGGCAAAAGTTACCTGCAACTTTTCCAGCGACAAATCACAGCCGTCTATAATTAATATAATTTATTATATTATTTTAATTATATTATTTTAATATTATTATATTATATATTAATTTATAATTTGCACTTTTCCAGTGCGGCTTGTTAGAAGAAACTAATGAGTTTATTTCCGCCCGTTTCGTGGCCGATTACGTTTTTGGTTTGAAGAAGAACGATAATCAAGTTCGAGTTTTGTTATTAGTTAAAGGCCGGCCTGGATTTCGTTAGTGCTGTTTCTCAGAGGAGGTTTTTGCTACATGCAGGACCAAATCTGTGCGCGCTGGAGTTCATCAATTGTGTCCGTGAGCTCCGTTATATTTTAATTGATGATATGTGGTTGCAAACCCCTTTCGGATTTTTTGTCACCTCAAGTCACTGTAAAAAAAGTATGTGTGTAATTTCACGCAAGTTGTGTGTTAATTCGAACCCTTCATTAATAACGACCAAAGAAGTTCCATGTTCAAATCACGATTAATTTTATTAGATTCTTGCCCAAAGTTCATTTTGAATGTTGGTCAAATATTGTTAAATTTCGTTTGGAATTTGAGGATTTTGATCTTAAATGGGTTTCGGATTGCGACATAGGTAAAACAAAGACAGATAATTAAATTAAAACATAACCTCAAAAGAAACATGTTAAGAAAGAGGAATTCTATGAAAATAATTTTACATAAAAAGGATACAGCCACATCCCATTAGTGTAAAGACGCTTAGATTATAATTAATTTAAACAATTTCAACGCGATGACTCTGGAATTTCCTAATATACTTGTCATTCCAACGACAAAAGCAAAAGTGACCCATGGTACCAACTCCTGGCACACTAAGAGCGCATTCAGTCAGTTACACAAACCAAAAGTACATTCAACAATCTCGCCATATCTCAAGAATCTAAGAGGCCTTAAGCTTCAACGCACAATTTTAAAAAGTCCGGCCCGTACCTAAGTACCACTAAAATCGAAAAAAAAATGAATACTATACTGGAAACTACCGTTACAAACGCCGTGTATAATATGTTTCTATTTGCCAAACACTTTAAGTAACTAATTGTAATCTTCATAATGTCCTTAAATTTTTTTCTTGGTATTCGCGGATTGCAACCAGCGCAGCGGCTCAATTTTCAGCTAGTTTAGACTTCTGTTCTGTATTGCTTGCGACTATAGGCGACCATGTTGATGGTTGCGAAATTGAATTCAAACAGACATACCTCATTTAAATTTGAAAAGCATAAATTTAGGTTGGAGACTGGCAAGGAAAAGTGCAAAATATAGGAAATCTTGTCATTGCCCTTCAAGATTATTTTGAAAAAACTACCTACACTTTATTTCTCTTTTAAAATAATTGTAGTATTGTTCTTCTGCTGCTCATCTCAAATCATTTATTATAAGGTGTCTCGGAAAGTTCTGTCATTTTGATTAAAATGTGTGTTAGCTATCGCCACTGGTTTTATCAACCGAGTTTACTTAGAAGTTAAAAATATATTTTGTTGTGAAATGTTAATGTCAATTCTGGTGTTAAATTTCCAATTCTTGTTTTGCACATTACAAAAGAATCGTTTTAAAGAACTAAATAAACTTGGTGCAAATCTCTCTGAGACATCTTGTACAATATAATAAACAGTAATAATAAATAAGTGGAAACAATGTGTGTACTTTGGTACCTATACCGATAATTTTGTAGCAACATTACCTACGCCAATAAAAGTTGAGGTTTTGTTTTGTGATTTTAGAATTTGTTGATATATTCTACTGAACTTTACGCTTACGTCTAATCTACGTACTACCATTGAATAAAAACACTATTTTTATTCAATGGTACTACCTATATAAAGATAACGATCAATTTTTTCAGGTTCTTTTCACTATTTCATTAAATTAATACTTGAATTAAAATCAACTTATCTCGCTCTATTTAAACTAAGTGCAACAGATGCCACATTGTAGAAATTATGTATATTATTTACATACCATCGAACCAATTTTTGCTGTTTAAAACGGGTCGGTAATGCAAACTTTTGCTTCCAATCTTCCATTTTAACAAACACTAGATAAGGGTACTGTAATCTCAACTGTAACCTATAACCAAAAACCAGTTTTTAAAGTTTCCATACTGATGTTAATAGTATTACTAATTAATAACGTAATCCGTAATCTAATCATTGTTGTAAGTATATTATGTACTTAAACCCAAAGTCCCGAACCAATATGTATTTTATTATACGACGAAAATATTTACTTTGTTATAATTCTCAAGTCAAATAACAACTGCTCGCCCATCCGATCGTGCGTCCATCCGGCCGTTCGCAAGATAACTCGATAAAGAGAAGAGGTGATTAAATTTTGGAGTAACACAAAACGCATGCCCCGCGCCACTTGCAACTCTTTGAGCGAGATCACGTTATAATTCGATTAGGAGTCTACTGAGGAAACTCAACGAAAGAAATTCATTGCTTTGCTAGCAACCGCAGTCCTTCTGAATCCATTGTCAAGATCTATTATAATTTCTGATATGTCCCGAGCGGAGTGTCGGACGAAGGTACCTACTTACAAAAGGCGATTGGAACTTTTGGAGGCTGATGGTTCTTCTGAGAGTTTGAGATCTCAGGCCTCTTCCTTTAAATTTTAACGAGAACTAGAAAACCATGGTTTCTATACTTTCCATGTTGGCAGATTTAACTCTTCGCGCACTTACGCAAATAAAGTCGAAGTATGCCGAGTATAACCAAACAGAGGAAAGATGGCATACACCTGAACTACAATAGAAACGTGTCTATTTAACAATTAATAGGGTTATTTAACAGGAACAGATTTAACTTACAATATACTGTTTAACAAATAACAGTATGTTATTCTATTATTCAGTCAGATTCAGATCTACTTGAGTTACGTATCTCTACTTGGCAGATCTATATTTTCACTCGGATAAGTTGTGTTTTGCAAATCAGTGGGGACCAGGGTGGGGACATTATATCTATACGAGAGCAATAATCCTATTAGTAAAGGAACGTTTAATCCAAAGTAAGATGCACTTATGCCCTTACCGTGCAGGTCAAAGATTGTGAGTTTTATCTGTGTAGAGATCAATCACCTCGTCCAAATTCGAATTAGTTTTGTAGAGCCTATGTGTACAGTGTACACAGGATCTAATCATGTCACACTATAGGCAGTTATAACAATTAAATAGGTAATCATCGAAAGGCCTTGTACGCACCGTTTTTTAGTGGGGATTATATTTTACGGAAAAAGGGAAATAGATCGGAGCCGTAAGCGACTTTGGGCTACAAAGCCAAATCCAAAACATATAGAACCCTCTCTGTTGGTGTCTACATTTTGATCAACAATAATTGAAAACCTCTGCATATAGAATAGTGTTTGTCAATCAGGTAGCTTGCCGTTGGTACGAGTAATTTACATATAAACTGTTAAATGAAAATGGAGGTTTGAAGACAAAATGTGCCACTTTTAGTGCCCGTTAAAGACCTTTAACTGGTTTAGACTAAATGCTGTTTTGAATGTAGAACGTCGACTACACTAAACATTATTAACGAACTCCTAGCGAGTTTATAATTTTGCGGTGTCTGTCCGTCCGTCCGTCCGTTCGTTAGCACGATAACTCATAAACGAATGGACCGATTACGATGAAATTTTGCAAGTGGATTCTTTATCAAATTTGTAGATCGGAGTTCGTGAATTAGCAATGTAGACCAAAAAATAAAGTAGGTCCTTTTTACATCTCCGTTAGTTATGAACCGAATTACATGAAATTCAATATGCGCATAGCTTTAGCCATATAAAACACAATTCCAAAAGTTGAGCCTAATCGATCAGCATTCACAGTGCCCTTTGCGCATCTCGACCATTTACAGACCGAAGACGAGTGCTCTAATTTTCTCAAAAATGCTCGCGAGTATCGAGTTGTTTTGCAAAGCGAAACCGCTTGCAAGTTCCGAACACTCCTAAAAGTGCTCGAGCGGTTTATTGCTCGGGAAAAGTGCTCGTGAGCGGAAAAGGCACTCGCGAGCGGAAAAAGAGCTCGCGAGCGGAAAAAGAGCTTGCGAGCGGAAAAAGAGCTCGCGGGCGAAAAAAGAGTTTGCGAGCGGAAAAAAAAGCTCATGAGCACTTTAAGGTAAACGCTCGAGTATCGAGTACCAACCAAGCGGCCGCTCCGAAAAGGGCGAGCGATCCGCTCGCAAGCACTTTTTCCGCTTGGAGCGTTTTTTCGAGCGGAACGCTCGCGAGCAGTACCCAGCTCTGTACTGTTGTGTAAACAACGCAACGTCATGTCGACGTTTATTTCAGTCTAAACATCGAAAATAATGACGCGACGTCCTGTATATAAAAATATTTCAATTTATGAAAGTAAATCTGGGGGATTATTTACGAAATAAGCAGAGAGTTGATTCGTTTTATTTGAATGTATGTCTTTGTGTTGTTTCCCCTTTGCAATTGTGTGTAATTATGTAATTTTTTTATTTGGGTTAATTAACGTACGTGTTTTATCATCGTTGTTAAGAGGAAGTGCGTCTTATTTTCGACGTAAGTGGGGCGTTACCAAGTCTAATTGGAATTGTCAGCGTTTTTGAAACTTCTGTAGAAGAAATTATTTTATGCTGGAAGTAATTTTTCTTTCAATACTGGAGTCAAAAAGACAACGAGGCGTCTGCTGCTGATGCTAGCTGTTAGTTTTCGCGATGGTAAATTTGTTTACGCTAAATCTCGGGCGCTTAACCGTATTTGTTTTGTTGAAGTTCGTCAGCTTCGAAATATATAGGGTGCAGAAGAAGTTGAGCGAGATTTAAGGTATCGTCAAGTGAAGTAATAAAAGTTTGTTGAAAGTTTTTAAAACGGTTTGTCCGTATTCAGAGAAAGTTAGTCCGAATATAAGCAAACAAAGCAGTTGTCTGCTCGTATCGTAAGGGTGGCACTCCCTAGGTACAAACGTTTTCAAGTCTCATCACAGCCGTCTGTGTGATTTAACGACAGCCGTGATATAACTGCCGGGACCGCCAACTTTACCTTTACCATACTCATATCAAAGAGTACCCATAGTATTACTCTTTGCTCATATGTAAATAGCTATTACCGTTCGGGTAGCCACCAACATTTTTGTCGTCTTATTACCGAGCCAGTTCCAGTCATTAAGTTCAGTTTATTAAAGAAGAAGTGAAGTTTCCTAAAGCTGTCAGCGAGTGCTTTTGTGTCTTTGATAGGTGCGCCTGAATATCGCATACTTTTTACGACAGATTATTTGGATTCTTAAACAACACCGTGCGTAATTTAAGATTATTTTTAATTTATAATTATCTACCGCTTGCGTGCGGTGTATTATGTTAATACAAGCTTTGGAAACTTCTCTTTCATTGTGTTTCGGAATACATGTTTGTCATTGTCAATCAATTAATTGTGTTTATTCGAATCCTTTGTGCGACCCGGATAGAGCTTTCATGTCAGATTTTTCTTATCGTGTCCAAAAATAGGGTCATTCCGTCAAACGTCAATTATGCATTTTTTAGCGCGTTTTTTAAGAATTAAAAAAAATGTGCTATTGTTTACGTTTTGTCTCTCCGTCCGTCCGGACCCACTTCTACCGCTTCGATCTACTTCTAGGGGAATGGTCCTAGATTCCTGGAATTTTTTGCAGTAGGTAGCCTATACCTTGAAGGTGTGCCAGACGGCCATCAAATTTCGCTGTCTAAAAGGCCCCCCCCCCCCACGAATTATTTCCTGAGATGTTGTTTTTGAAAGAATAACGTGCATAACTTTCACATACGACGAATTAGTTTCCATAAGCCACGGCAGGGAAAACTAAGTCTTATACCTGGGAAACAATACATATGACGTTTTTAGAAATCTCCCTTAGGTATGTGATGGTTTTGTCCATCTGTCTGTCTGTCGCTGTTCCTCCTCTAACTCAAACATTCCCCAATTGATTTTTACGAGCTCAAGGATAACGGCTATTGAATATTAGCCGGATTAAAAGTCTGGTTTACGAATGCCAACTGTGTGGCAAAAAATGCCGCTAGGTATTGAAAATCGTATGCGACCTGTTTTACTATATTCACGATGCACAGCCAGACAAAATTTCCTCGCTACTAGAAGTTTTCTGTAATCAATAATAATAATGTAAAAATATGTTCATAATCAATAATCATATTTATTTAGCCAACATTCACAGTTCAATAATCTGCTTTCAATGTATAATAAAAAGATAACTGTGTTTTGTACATGTATTGTCAATGGGACTATTTCAGAACACAGAAAGATCATCCTATTTAAACTCCTACCGCGACGTGGTGGTGATCTAAGCTGATAATCTGATAATAAAAGAACTTCAAAACCTTTAATTAACATTAACAGAAATTCGGAATACTTTAAGAGCATTCGAATTAGATCAGTCCAGATACGGAGAGGATGATTGTCCAATTAATGGAGAACCGACCACTTTCCATGTGTCTCTGGTTTAGAGTATTTCTTTTTTATCACGAAAAGTTTAATATTATCCCATCTGCACGTCTGTGAAATGTGAATTGTTCAATATGCAGGTTGGACATTTTTTATTTTTACTGAAATCGGGAAATTTTGATATTAAAAAACGATAAAAAAATGTGAGGGCAACATATTGATATTTACGTCCCCTGTAAGGGTCAGCGCGAAGAGAAAAAACGTACCTGCGCGCGAGACTAGACCGCGTGACGTCAGTAGCCAACATATTTGCCGTCGGGTTGGCAGATTATACGAATTCACGTAAACTGGAACCGATGTGTTAATTTTATTTGCTGTATGCACAATGCTGCCAGGGTATAAAAAAAGTTGAATGGCGAAATTTACCCAATGTTAATGTGGAAATGGAGTTTTCGGCTAATGCAAATTTAAAGAAATCTCAGAACAGTCCAGTAGTGGAATTATACAACTCTTACATCATTTCCACACTCACATTTAGTAACTAAATTTCGAGAACCAGCTTTTTGATAACTTTGCAGCATTGTGCACAAAATAAATACAATATTTTGCCCTCAAATTTTTTTTATTGTTTTTTAATAACAAAATCTCTCAATGTTAGTTAGAATAAAAGAAATACAAAAAATGTCGAACCACCCTATTATACATAAATTTTGTGCAGTAGTCAATACGACGACACCCACGGTTGGTCATAAAATATAAAATAATTATAATCAAAGCTTTCGCATTGTTTTTTTTATTTTACAAGTAAGTAATGTATAATAAAAAGATAACTGTGTTTTGTACATGTATTGTCAATGGGACTATTTCAGAACACAGAAAGATAATCCTATTTAAACTCCTACAGCGACGTGGTGGTGATCTAAGCTGATAATCTGATAATATACGTAAGAAGGCTACAGCGGGATATGCGCAGATGACTGATTTTAGTTGAAAAGTTGTCAGCACAACATTGAGTCTATCTAGGAAGATCTTCTTCACTATGTTTAACTCAATAGTATTTATAACGGTTCCTTAATAACATAAAGTTGAGTCTAAACAGACTTTCGTGTCTTCCATTCTCGAAAAACGTTTGCTGCTTTCTGGAGACATTCGTCTTTCTGAAATAAAAAAATAATTAGGAGCCCAGTGCAGAATAGTATATTGAAAGACAAGTGTTACAATGCGACCTATTGTAATACGACTATCTTGTGGCACGAGTGGCGACGCGAAGCGTAGCCACGAGTGTCCGCAGGATAGGAGTATTACAATAAAGCATTGTAACACGCGTTTTTCATACTATTTTTTCTATTTCGGTGCTTTAATTTAATTTAAAAAATCATTATCAGAAACTATAGGGAACATTAGAACTAGCATGTTGTTATGTTGGGAACACTTTTTATGCCGTTAAGTTTTGGGTTGGCAGCGTAGTAAGACGGACATTTTGAAGTTCAAACATGGAAGTACCCAACGAAGTACCTACTTGTACTAACTAGTAACTGCCAACTTAAGAGATGAGTTACCAAAAAAAAACGACTATAATCACCGTCTTTGTACAACTGTTTTCGGCCGAAAACAGTTGTACAAAATCATCATTGTGACACCGAAATAGAAAAATTTTTTTTCGGCTAACCTTGATATAGCAAAGCCTTACGAGATTCTGGCCCAATCCTTTGTTTGCATCACTATAAAAAATACTAACAGGAATCATCTGGACTCCAACATTTTTTATAAACCACTTTGTAAACTGCAGATCTTTGCAAGTGCCCGTTTCACTCGAGAAATCGACTTTTGCCTCTATATAGTTCGACGATTTAAAGAACGTTATACCTGTAGGTACTATGTTGCTATCTCACCTAACGATGCCCAATCAGCGACCAAGAAAATACCAGCGTCAGGTACAATAGGCTCCATGACAATTTCACGTAAAACTTCTACCATGTAATCAGTTTTTAGTTTGAGACTTTTTCTTAACAATTGCTGGAAGCAGTCATCTTGACCAAACCTCGCTAAATCCTTTTCGATGCCGATAGCAATGGCTTCCTAAAATCAATAACAAAATATTGGTGTATGGTATTACTTTGTTGTAAATTCACCTGCGCAAAGGGAGAAGAGGGCAACTTTGGACCACTTTGTAAGTTTATTAAAAGATGTTTTGGTCCAATAGCCCATCCTACTTTCAATCCTGTGATGCAGTGTGTCTTCCCTGCCGATCCTATACTTATAGTTCTCTCCCACATTCCCGGTAACGATGCTGAAAATTAGAAGTTATTTGGCATAATCCGGAATTAGGGGATTTACGACAGTTAACAGTACCCATTTTAATATGTCGTTTTGGTTCATAAACCAACCATTCATATACTTCATCTGCAATGCACATGACATTCCATTTCTGACAAAGATGTGCAATGTACAACAGCTCTGTTTTATTAAATACTTTCCCGAATGGATTGTGCGGTGTGTTTAGAATAAAAGCTTTCGTTTTACTATTAAAGAGGCCATCTAGTTCTTTGAAATCA